TTTTGTGAAACCACCTGTGCTCAAAAGCACACAAGCAGGATTCCAAGGAGGACACACTGACCTTTCCAGGGGCACAGCCTGGCCCTGAGAACAAGGAATAAAGACCAGAAACACGTTTTTGCCTGGGTGGAGAGGTACGTAGAACTTTTAGATTTAAGACATCTGTCTTGTATTAATGGTTGAAGAATTCAAAACTGTAAACTTGTTTTTCTCTTTTTGTTTGTAGTTCAGCTTTCACAGCTGTCCTTGAAATGCTTAATATTTAAACCATCACATAATGGAAAATTAGTATCAGTATGCTACATGTTAAAAATAAAGATGGTCTATAAACTATTTAGTTCCCTTATGTTTTTGTAAGACATCCTACAAAGCACTAAAGTGAAAATGTATTTTTGACAAAAGAAAACCCCCAAACCCCAAAGTTTATTTGCAAAGCTTCAGGTTGTTCGAGTTAATTGGTAACTTAAAAATTTAAATAGAATTCCAATCCATTTCTAGTGCTGAGAGGTACACATGAGACCAGAACAATTGTATGAAGTTTAAGTACATTTTATTAACAATGCATCCCTTTGATAAGACTACGCTTCAGAAGGCTTTTAATGCCCATTGACATGAACTGTACACACTATAAAAAGAAAAAGAAAAAAGAAGAAAAAAAGAAAGAAGAAAAAAAGAAAGAAAAAAAAAAAGACCCAGAAAAAAATCAAGGTGGGCAATACCATTTGGGACAAGCCTCTGTTTAAATTATACACAGCTCAATGCAATATTCTTACGGAAAATATATAAATACTTTTTCTTTCTATGTTACAGGTATACAATATAAATCAGATTTCAATGTCTGTTCAGTGACCTACAAACACTAGAACCCCCAAATATGTAGCAGCGTATTACTAAATAAGAAAAGACCACACGGGGCTGGGAGAATAAAGTCTTGAGATTTTCCTTGATCCCCTTTTTCCTCAGAAGGATTAATTTAGACACTTTCTTGTAATGCAGTTTTAGGGATGCTGACAGCCCAATACTGGAACAATTTTTCAATTAAATCTACAAAGTGTCTGCCTTTTCCCCCCTTAGACATTGCATCTTGTGCTGGAACACCCTATTCAGTGGCAAAATGGTATCTTACACTTTTTGGCATAAATTACATTTCTCAAATAAAATAGTGTATTTTACAAAGCAACTGAAGCAAAATGTGCAACTTCTGCATGCTGTGGCATTGCTGTCCATTTATGTTACAAAAATAGTCCAAAGAATACCCACATTCTTTACTGAACATAGAAATCTGTTGAAAACAGAACTATCCCAGGGAACCAGAATTGGGAGCTAAACAAAATCCAAGGAGATGTCAGAGGCTTCTAGCGAAATACAAGCATGTTTTCTAGCACGTTCCCAAAGGTCTTTTTATAGTTCTCAGAGTTTACTCTCGCCCAATATACCCTTAGTAAGCACATGGTAATAGAAATGTAACTTAAAAAAGAAGCTACAGGACCTGCTTTCAGCTGGCTCCAGTGAAACTCTGAGTAACAGGACTTGTGTGCAGCCCTGCCGGGGGGCGAGCACAGACCTCGGAGATGATCCCAAGCCTGGCAAGAATTCTTCCACTGCGAGTGCTCAGGTTGAGCTCACACTTAGAAGGTAACAACCAGCTTCCTGCAGTCCAAAAAGCCAAATACCAACTCTGGAACACAGCGTAAGAAGGAGCAACAGCTCGCTTCATCTCCCACTAAGCTTTGATTATGGCCTATTTCTTGAATAGCTACCTTTCTTTTCAGGCACATAGTAAAGGTGCTACAGGTTTTTTTTAGTTTCATTGCAAATCACAACTCTCCTTCAAGACCACTACATAAGTTTCAAAATGACAAAAATACAAGCAGGATTCTCACTGATGCCTCTTTAAATGCTTATAAGGGCAGCTCACCTCAGTGTGCCAATCCACTACGCTCTAAAGTACCGAACACATTAGCGCTTCATTGTGTCTTGTGAGTAAACAAGAACAAAACCCAAGGAGAGCACATTTAGGGTACCTATGTCAGGTCACAGAAGAACACCCAGGTGAGGAAAAGCAACTGTTACAAGCATAGCATACCAGGGGCCCAACATGCAAATGGTGCATCTACTCTCCTCCAGCTCCAAGTGATGCCAACGAGAGGCGGGAGCTCTCAGCATCTCTGAATTTCAGACAGCTGAAATAGTCTCTCTCCAAAAGGACACTCGCAGAACCCAGCTCCATGCTGCTCCCCCACTCATGGAGAGAAACAGGCTCTTTGGGAAGTAACTGGGACACTTTTAGTTAGCTGTCTGGCCTTTGAAAGGGCTCTCCTTGCACTGACTGTAAAAGCAGACTTAAGAAAACTAGCCCCCTAATGCAGAAGAGCTGGCCTCTCCTTCCCACAAAGGCTTTCATCTCAGAGCTGAGCATTTTGTGCTAGCATCATGAATCATTTGTGAGTTTCATCTGCCACAGCAACCAAACTGTATTTGTATATAATACGAGTGAAGGTTATATACTTTACCATTTATTCAAGCATTTACATCAGCAATTGTTTGGATTGGAAAAACCACAAAGCAGGTGGTCTGTCAGCTTCCCTTGCAAACCTTTTCAGGACAAGTGGAAGGATTCTTAATCAGGGTTAATATTAAGCACAATTGTTATTTACTACCATTGTCTAAAGTTTTACCATGAAGCAAGTAAAACCCCAAGATAACAACTTTGAAAGGGATATTTGAAAAGAAAAAAATCTATAGAATTGGAAATTCACAGTTTATAACTAGGCCAATATCAAATTCCTTCAATTACAGCATCCCTTCATTTGCCAATTAAAATGAAACATGAATGTGAGCTTAATGTAAATACGTAAATTCATTCTAGAAATGTTGTATGTTATGTACAGTACAGACTTTACATCTTTGATGTGTACTTGTTGAAATCTACTGACACTCATACATTTTCGGGGAAAAAATAAATCATGTTTTACAACTGAATCTGCAGCCATAATTTTTACATCAAGTTTCTGTTGTCATGGATCCCCACACAAGTGAATACTTGAGAACATGTAAGCATTTCAGGATGGAGATTCTTTCAAAAAGCATATTAACACCACTTTTGCTTACCTTTTTATAATCAGAGGCCTTTGTATAGCGCTTCCTATGTTAACCGCTACAGGTTAAACTGGTAACAAATGAACAAAGGTGTTTGTTTTGTTTTTAAATGCAGGTGATAAAACTTGTTTATTTTGCTTTAATTGCAGAAAAATAACATGGAGTTGTTCGATGTAACCCCATCTAGTTATTAAAACAAATCTCTTATACTCTAGCCTAACTGAGGTAGTGTTTGAAACTACGGTATAAGATACGCTAGCCCCATTTTTGGGAAAACTACATTATTTCCTTTGGAGTTTATACCACTATTTGGTCTACTGTGATTGACGTTTTGGTTTTACAGAAGCATTTATTTCTTATGAGCAGAAGTCCAATAGTTACCGGCTATTTTCAGAGCATTTCAAACGTGCCTTGACACATAAATGTATTATTATTTGTGTCACTGGCCATAGAAAAGTTGAATCAATTTCTTTTTGCTCCTTCTTTCAGTGGGAACTCGTGAAAAGGTAATCTTAGGAACTAAATTTGACTGTGAGCAGCAACTTACAATCTGCTTTACCAGAACGTGACGGTATGCAGTGCACACAAAAACTCAGTGAAGTGATAGCTGCAAAGCAGTGCTTATGTGTCTTGTTCTACTGTTCACAGGACTACCTATTGAAATCTCCAGTAGCATAGCTAGGAAGAACAGAGTTGTGAGCATCAGGATAAATTTCACTTATCTTCACTTAAGTATTAACCTGACAATTATAAAAAATGGTAAAAGTGAATGGAAAAAATACGTTCTACTTAGTACAGTCCAGCTGAGTTATTCCTATATCAAAATCAAAGGGTAATCCCTTCTATTACAGGCATTCTAACAAAGGTGGCCATGCTACTGTATATACACATTTGCATATATTTATATTACCTTTGTGTAAAGGCTTCTGAATCTCTAGATCCATGATAAAAGTGTAAAAGTGACAGGGATTTCTATTTTTTTTTTTAAGCTTGCACCCATTGATTTAGAAACCTCACCAGCAACATGATAGAGGCAACTATTTCAGTCATCAACAGTCACTGTCTCATTTAACTTTTGCAACAAGTCCTAAATACCAGTATAAAATTATAAGTACTGCTGCTCCAAAATTTGGTACTTAAGGCTTTTCACTACAATTATTAGTACTATCTGATGCTTGATCACTCATCCATTGAAAATCCAAATAAACCTTTGTTTTTATAAAAGGCTGTTTCCACAGAACTTTGAAAACACTCATATTATGTCTTCTCACAAAAGCAGCAATGATTAAATGTCTTCAAGTTTAGTTTATACAATATTCATTTATCTGATACAAATCATGCTTTTTAAAGGATTTTGGTTAAGAATAAGACCAACATTCGTACTATATGAGCATGAATGTAGAAACTGCAAACACATGCATATCATTCAGGGAGAACAATCTGATTTCAGCATATTAAGTTTAAATGATTTGTTATTTTTAAAAATCAAACTGTAGTGAAAGTCCTTAACTGGTTCAGATAAGATACATGTATGTAAATGTAATGAAATTGGAGAGACTGCTAATAAAATGACTTACAACTATAGCAATATTAAAATAACTTAAAGGAAACCTCAGAGTCACAGAGGCTTTTCTTTCTGTCTGAAGTTACAAACCTCCAAGTAGTGTTATAAACAGTACAAAAACAAACAGAGAAAGGCTAACACTAACATTAATCCCCTAGTCTCCAAGATTACAGCACAGATCCCCATTGCTGGCAACGGAATGCACCCTCATATCTCTCTCTGATTCCTGGTATCCAGCGTTTAAAAAGCAAGGCATCATTCTACTTCTCTGGAACAGAATTGGAAGTCAATCAAAAAAAGATGTCTCTGCATGTTGTCCTATTTGTTTGTTTTTTCCAATGAAATGAAAACTTGTGGAGGTGTTCAGTGCTTGGCTCTTGCATATACTGATAATTACTATTATTAAAACTATGGTAATGTTTAATAAATCCCCAAAGGGCTCAAAAGACTGGAACAGTAATTGGTTGAGGAAGAAAGTTTTCAGTTCAGTCTTCAGGTACCAGTAGCTTCTGGAACGGTCTAGCAGATGATACTCCAAGCTTTTTATCCAGTCAGTCAGAGGTGATTTCTGAGGATTTCAGAAAGTCTATATGGCAATGCACTGCATGAGACAGAGGTCAGGATTCAGTTGATGTATCGATCACTGGAGGCTTTGTTGGTGTTGCTAAAACAGCCTCTGCTTCTTCATGCATCTAAGAGAAAAAGACAGATGAAGTATTCTTGTTGTTAGTGATTTTTGCTAAAGAGATACCATAAAATGGGTTCCTTTAAGACGTATCTGAAAGCATCCATTATTCACAACATGAAACCTGCACCAGCTGGTGCAATTTGGTGCATTCAACACATCTGAACACTCCACTTACTTGTAAGAACTGCACATCCTGAAACAGTTCCTGAATGAATCTCCTAGATGGAAGTCGAAATGTACAATGTGCTAACAAGTAGGACACCTCAGAGTAAAGGCATATGTCATCAAATGCTTGGGGATACTTCTCCTTAATTCTGGAAAAAAAAAAAAAACAAAACAAAGCAAAAACAAAAAACAAAATCAGAAAACAAACAAACAAAACAAAAACCCACACAGAAAAACAAAGCTTTGTTAAATTGTGAACAGATTTCCATCATATTTAAAAAAAACCCCATTCAGTTAGATTTTGATAGTCATCATTAACAAAGTAGAACTCTTAATCACTAGGCATTATAAATTCTAGGTCTGACAAAGCAAGAAAATAAGGGCACCATTATTTTGTACAAAACTGCAAGAAATCTGTATTAGTGAGATGAAACAGAAGATATAATTTTAAAGTTGTACAGAATTGCTGGGATCACCTAGCCTTAAAATAACAGACGTAGAAAGAGAACAATGTATTAAAGAATTGGCATCCACATGTACAGCAGTAGTAAGAAAAATTTGAAAAAGCTAACTTAATCACCTGTAAGCATTGTTAAAACTAAAATGAGCATTTCCTCATCTTCTTTTAGCAGTCATATGCCAATTTCCGATGTCACAATCCCAGGAACCTACAGGTTTTATTATAACATTTGGTCCCTGGATTTATATTCCAGTATTTTAACACCTTCTTTTTTTCCC